GCCATGGCCTTCTCTAATGCTAGCATCAAGGTCAAGAATATGGGCAGTGGACTAGGCTAGCAGTGTGACCTGGGCAATTAACTTATCCTGCTAATCTCTAAAGCAGGTAATGATGTAACAACTTCTGCCATAGGCTGGGGATGTTACGACCTACCCCATAAGGTGGTTGTAACCAGTAAATGAATTGGCAATTGTAAGGTCCTTCAGGAGCTCTGGTAGCGTAGTGCCTAAGGCACTTGATTGCTAACCAGAAGCCTGGCAGTTCAAACCCACCAGCCACTCCTTGGAAGGAAGTTTGGGCAATCTACTTTCGTAGTGATACTGCCTCAGAAACTCAAGGAGGGGTCGCCATGAGTTGGATACGACTCGACAGCAGTGAGTGGGTTTAAAGAGCCCTGGTGGCTCAGCAGTAAAAGCATGTGGCTGCTAAGCAAACAGTTTGTAGTTTGAACTCACCAGCCACTCCACAGGAGAAAGATGTGGCAGTCAGCTTCTGTAAAGATTTATGGAAACCCTACATTGTTGTTTTTAGGTGCTGTCAAGTTGGCTCTGACTTATAGTGACCCTATGCACAATAGAACTAAACACTGCCCAGTCCTACACCGTTCTCACAACCATTGCTATGTTTGAGCCCATTGCCGCAGCCAATGTGTATCAGTTGATCCCATTAAGGGTCTTCCTCTTTTTTGCTGACCTTCTACTTTACCAAGCATGATATCCTTCTCCAGGGACTGACAACATGACAAAAGTATGTGAAATGAAGTCTAGCCATTCTTGCTTCTAAGGAGCATTCTGGCTATACTTCCAAGACAGATTTGTTGTCCTTCTGTCAGTCCATAGTATATTTGGTCTTCTTCACCAACACAATTCAAATGCCTCAGTTCTTCTTTGGTCTTCCTTATTCATTATCCAGCTTTCATGTGCATATGAGCTACTGGGCAGTTCTACTCTGTCCTATATGGTCACTGTGAGGCAGAATTGACTCTACGGCAGTGGGTTTTGTTTTGTTAAGCCCTTTAACTAGAACCTGGTACACGGTCCCCTCTTCTTGAATGTTATTGCTGTTAGCTGTCGTCCAGTAGGCCCCAACTCATGGCAACCCCACGCATAACAGAATGAGACCCTGACTGGTCCCACACCATCTCTATGACTGGTTATGGATCAGATCCTTGTGAGAGCCATAAGGTTTTCACTGGCTGATTTCAGAAGTAGATTGTCCATCTGGGTCCGGAAACTGCTGAACCCTGTTCAGCATCCCAGCAGCACACGTCTCCACTGACAGACGGGTGGTAACGGCACTTGTGGTGCCTTGGCTGGAAATCAAACTTGGGTGTCCTATGTGGAAGGCAAGAATTCTACCACTGCCCCACCATTGTCCCACCTGCTTAAATGCTCATGAGGATTATTATTACTAAAATCACTTGTATCTTTCAAGGCCAGTTTCAAAGCCCTCCCTTCCATACTGTCTTTCTTGATTATCTCAAGAAAAAAAAACTTGTCCTTTGTTTGGCTTTTTTATAGCTGAGTGAACAGGCTCAACTCCAGCACTTGAGTTGTTTCTTTCCACCTTATTCTTTTTTCGTTGTGATTCTGTGCCCACAGTGTGGCGTAGGTTCCTCACGTAAGTCCCGTAAAGAGAGAGAGAGTTTACTCATCTCTTTTTACAGCTCAGAAAAGTGGCAGTTAGAGCAGTGAAGGGGCTTGTTCAGGGTACCACAGCTCACAAGTGACAGGACTGTTGCCTACTCCAAGCCTTCTGAGTCCACCACCCCACAGCAGCCTTGCCAATCACTCAGTTATGAACTTGTCTCTCAATCCCACAAGTTTTACTCGGGGCATGGAGAGCTGATCTTCATTTCACTCACTGTTGGACTCACCATTGTCTCAGGATCAAGGGTGCTAAGTAGAACCCCCTTACTCTGTTGATACTGTTTCCTTATAAATCCTAATAACCATAGTGATCTTAAGTTCTGCTACTTCAATGTGCACCTTTTATGCACGTAGTAGATTATGTAATGGTTGCTGGGGCTCTCACAGAAAATATCATATTGATTTATGCCAGCTTTTTGCCTCTCCCACTCCATGATCTCTTGCTAGCTTCAGCTGGGTATGCAAATAGGCAGCCATGGCTATTTGGTAAGCAAATTGATGTATCAATTCTATGTGGCTGTCAATATGAGAGTCCAACCAAATCCCACCCACTCTTGTATGGAAATAGATTTCTGATTAATATTGGTTTAAAATCTCGTTATATTTTGAAGGATATTTTACTTTCCCAGCTGAATTTCCCTTAAATGAGAAGAGGCAGACAGAGTTAGACAGACATTTATAGAGGTAACAGTGGGTGCAAGGGAAGAGATGTTACACTCTTAAGACTTAGTCACCAGTGATGACTACTTCTGATCCCAGGAGAGATCATAGAAGGGCCTTCAGTTTAGAATCTGGCATATTTAGAGGAGAACAGAGACGTACGGGAAGGGCCAGGTGCTACAGCTTGTGTAAGCCCTTTTGCTCGCGTCTATGGGAGAATGTGCTCAAGGGCTCGGCATGTTCTTTTCTAGTCAATTTCCATGAGTTCCATTTGTCGTTTTTGTGACTCACCGTCTTCATCTTTTGTAGGAAATTCCTCAAAGACTCATCTTTATGTGATGTATGTGAAAGTTCCATAAACAGAAAAGCCTTTCTAGCATCACACAGTACTGGGAAAGACCATATGCCACCTAGGATACTGGGATTTGCATTTTTAAAACCATGTTCTTAATGTCACAAATCTATTTCACATCTGACAGAAATGTAAAAAAAGTTAAAGAAGTAAACTTTCGATTCAACTCAAAACCAAAACCAAACTCACCCGTCAAGTCGATTCTGACTCATAGTGACCCCTCCTTGGGTTTCCGAGGCGGTATCTCTACGGAAGTAGATCGCCCGATCTTCCTTCCAAGGAGTGGCTGGTGGGTTTGAACCACCAGCCTTCTGATTAGCAGTTAAATGTCTTAGGCATTATGCCACCAGATTCAACTAGCCAGATCTATTTAATTAGCGCTCTGCTTTAAGGATATAAGAGGAACTTGATGGGTGTCTTTGTAGTGTTCTCTTCTTGCTTTGTCAGTTACTTTTTCAAATGTAGAAATGTCAAAAGCAAAAGTGCACTATAACTACATTCAGTGTAATGTGGTTCCCAAATAGTCAACTCTAACTCACCCAAAGTAGACTGTAGTTTCGATAAGTCTTCAGGCAATTTCTTCTGGCCTTAGATTTTAGGTGTAGAAAGTAAGGTTATGTGAGCAGGCGTCAGTGGAGAGTTGGTAATGGAAGGAGAGGTGAAACGTAGCTGCACTGCCCGCCTTCCAGGTCCTGCCAGGTCTGCTACACCCTGTCTTTGGAGCCTGGGCAAAGCTGACAAAGTCATGGCAAATAGCCCCCATTGTGCTCAAATGTTCCGGATTTCCACATTTGCAAGAGAATGATTCTTTTATTTGCAGATAAAACAATAGCCAAAGCAAAAGGTTACCAAGATTTTATTATATTTAATGGATAAAATTCCTTCTCCTTCTGCCTGTAAACCAAGCACTGCCCTTAGAGAACATCCTAGAGATTAATAATAGGCTCCTGACCTATGTAAACAAACAGCAAAAGCTGATTTTCTTGATTTCCTTGTCTAGAATGTTGGTGAGGTCTAAGTCAGGGGGAAAGCTGGCTGGGCCTGACCATGGCTTATTCAAGGTCAGGCTATATTTCTTAGGCTCCCTTTCTCCCAGCTCTGTGACCATAGTGGGACCATGAGATGTGTCCACGAGTGATTGGATAGGTTCACTTGTCACCCACCTCCCTCTGGACAGAACCATGCTTGTGCAAGTCCTTCCTGATCAAGAGTGATAAGCAGCATGCAAATATCTTCTTTTTAATACATTACCCTGGCATAGCCAGAAGCCACATGAGTGATTGTGCCTTGGAGAAGTAATTTTGCCTTACAGCTTGAGAGTTCAAGTTAAGGACCCTCCCGGTAAACAGGCTTTGGCTCTACCCAGTGTAAGGTGAGTAATGTTAATTACCTTCAGCTTATCAATAAGCCAAGAAAGATTGCAATCACTGAACATCTGAGTGCACATAACCATGGGATTTCAGAAAGCAAAGAAGAAAGTCACAAGTTTGTTGCTGTGGCCTGCTGCTTAGCGTTACTGCTTTTCCTCATCAGGGCTGATACCTGGCTGAGAGTTGAAGCGATGATCTTAGCAGGAGCTAAAAAAGAATGCATTCATTTTCCAGAAATACCTTAAGCTTCTATGATTTATGAGATGGGGGAAAACAAGAGTGTTTTACTTTGTAAATGTATCTACTGACTTTTTCTGTTCTTTTAAATCTCTTTCAATAACATTTTCTATTGCTCTAGCATGATTTTACCTTGTTTTATTCTATCTTGGATGTTTGTTTTGCTTTTAAATTCTTTATCAGGAATATTGAAAGCATGTCCATGTCCTTTATGTTAAAGATCTGTTCTTGGTCAGGGCTGTGGATATCCTCTACAATAATATCTATAATGATACCAGATTGTCATGGTGGTTTGGATAGTTTGTTCAAACAAGTGACCACTTTAGTGGAGAAATTTCAGTTGGCCAAATGATTCAAAACATGTTCAGCTGTTGGGAGTTCAAATTTTAAAAAGTTTGATAACATCTCATTAAATTTATCAAATGTCTCTAGAATGCTTAAGGTGCAAACGGCATTTTGATAAGGCGATCTAGAGGTTGGTGCAAAGATGATGAATCCAGAAAGGAAAATGGGTATAAGGACTAAACTGCTTTTTAAATCACCTCTTTACAGAAAATCAAAGCAAGGGCAGTAGAAAAACTTGTAGGTATGTGTGTGTTCAAGAGCCTCGTTAGTTACATTTAGAGTATCCCTGAATGGGAAATAGTTGAATAAAGATCCAGAAGGCTAAAGAGAACCTAGCCAGGTACTGCAGACCTTCATTTTAATTACTTCCTTTTATTTAGGACGACAATATGGATACAAAATCCATACTAGAAGAACTGCTTCTCAAAAAGTCACAGCAAAAGAAGAAAATGTCACCAAATAATTACAAAGAACGGCTTTTTGTTTTGACCAAAACAAACCTCTCCTACTATGAATATGACAAAATGGTGAGCTCCTATTCATTCTATTGTTTTTATACTGTTTATTTTTTTAGGTCTCCACAATAAAACAGTATCAGGTTTCTCTGGTTATACAATAAAGCTCAATTCACATTCACTTATCACAGTGCCTTTTCTTTTTCTTTTTTTGATTGTGATATCTTTTTTTATTTTTTATTTCTTTAAATTGTGATTTGGGTGAAGATTTACAGAGCAAATTCACTTTCCATACAGCAGTTCACATATACTTTGTCTCCTGTCATTGACCACAGTTTACCACATTGCAACAGCTCCCCTCCCACTTCCTCCCCATAGTTACCTCTTCCCAGTGTCCATCCCTCCATACACTCCTGCTCCCTGAGCTGTCTCCCTGTGCATAAGCAGCCGTTCTTTACAGTGCCTTTTCTTAAGGAGACATAATTAACTCAAGATAAATGATGTTAAAGCATTAGTTAACTTGGAGCTCTGGTAGCGTAGTGCCTAAGGCACTTGACTGCTAACCAGAAGGCTGGCAGTTCAAACCCACCAGCCTCTCCTCGGAAGGAAGGTTGGGCAATCTACTTCGGTAGTGATACTGCCTTGGAAACCCAAAGAGGAGTTGCTATGAGTCGGGTCTGACTCAACAGTAAATAACAACAACAACAAGCCAAATTATAACTTTAGAATAGTGGTTCTCAGCTGAGGACAATTTTGCCCCCCAGGCAACATTTAACAACGTCTGCAGATATTTTGGGTTGTCACAACAGGAGGTGTGCTCCTGGCATCCAGAGGATAGAGGCCAAGGATGCAGCTAAAAACCTTACAATGCACAGGGCAAAACCAAAACCAAACCAAACTCATTGCTGTCCAGTCGATTTGACTCATAGAGGCCCCTCCTTGGGTTTCCCAGTTTTCCCAGGTGGTATCACTACCGAAGTAGATTGCCCAGTCTTCCTTCCAAGGCGTGGCTGGTGGACTTGAACTGCCAGTCTTCTGGTTAGCAGTCAACTGCTTTAGGCACTATGCCATCAGAGCTCCTACAATGCACAGGAAAGTCCTCACAACAAAGAATTTTCTGACCCCAGTGTCAATAGTACCGAGGGTCAAAAAACCTTGCCTTTTGAGAAGGCTGCGGGTAACTTCTGTGCACTCAAGAATTCTGTCACAGTGAGCTGAAATGCTGTCATAAAATTGAAACAAAAATGAAGATGCTTTTTGGAGTTAAATCTTGATTTTCCTGAGTAGATTAACCACATGGCAGGGGATCTGAAACATTGCAAAATTCTCAAACACAATTCTTAACTGCTGCTTAAAGACTTGCTTTTGGAGAAGTGGATGAGTACATGTCCATGTTTGAGAATTATTCTCTGTGTCATTGGATTTTTACTCTAGTGGATGAATTGGAAGGTGATCCTTCCATACCCACCCCTGTCCCCAGACTCTCCCCAAGCATAATCTCAGTTTTCTGCTTTTCCTTGTGTGCTATGGCATAGCACATGAGTCATCTTATATTTTTCTTTGATTCAGAAAAGAGGCAGCAGAAAAGGATCCATCGAGATTAAGAAAATCAGATGTGTGGAGAAAGTAAATCTCGAGGAGCAGACTCCCGTGGAGAGACAGTACCCATTTCAGGTATGGGGAGGAGTCACAGCCCATCATCTGGAAGGTTCTTCCTTTTTAATATTTTCTCTTATGAACTCAATGAATCTCGGGTAAATAATGATGTTGCAAAATGATGTGTTGAGACAATGGTGAGATATGGGCATGGAGCAAACAGTTAGGGGATGGACTACTAACTAAGAGGTTGGCAGTTTGAACCCAACCAGAGGCACCTCAAGGAAAGGCCTGGTGATCTGCTTCTTAGAAGTCACAGCCACGAAAGGCCCTTAGAGCACAGTTCTGCTCGGCGCATGTGAGATTGTCACGGGTCGGTATCGACTCAACAGCAACTGGTTCGGGAGTACTTGGGTAACAGCACAACAGCTAACTCAGAAAGTGTTGGAAGACAGCCCTGGTAATCTGCTTCCAAAATATCACAGCCTTAAAAACCCTATGGAGCGGTTCTACTCTGCACATAGTGCATCATCGCCACTGAGTCGGAAGTGATGGCAACTGGTTTGTTTAATTTGTTTTCTTTTTAGAGGAAGGGAAACCAAGCTAGGAGTATAAGCAGCCCCAGCTTGTAGTCTGACAATCTCTTTCATCAAGCATTGTTGAGCATCTCTGATAAACTACAAGGTAGAAGACACACTGAAAGGAATAAAACACTGTCCCTGACCCAAGGAACTTACAGGGAAGTGAGGGAATAGACTAATAGACACCCTATTAATTGAAGTGAGGATGAGTGTTAAGATGGCAGTTACAGAGTACACCATGGTGCCCTGGAAACAGAACCTCTGCTTCTCACTCCAAGAAGTCAGGGGGATTTTCTTTTGGAGGTGACCCTTGGGCTGAGAAGTACAAGTGGAGTTTAGCCCAGCAAAGGTGGGAACAGCAGCTGGGATCAAAGAAAGAGCAGGTGGCAACACTCTGATGGGTGAAAGAGTATGGCATGTTTGGAGAGCTGCAAGAAGTCTCACTGAATGAGGCAGCACATGAGAGAGTGAAGGCAGTTGAGCCAGGAGAGGTGAGCAGTGTATCACGAAGGGCTTTGCACACTATGCTAAACCAAAAGATCAAACTCACTGCCATCAAATCGATTCTGACTCATAGTGACCCCCACTGGGTTTCCAAGGTTGTAAATCTTTATGGAAGCAAACTGCCCCATCTTTCTTCTGTGGAGCAGCTGGGGGGTTTGAATCACTGATCTTTTGGTTAGCAGCCAAATGCCTTAACCACTATACCACCAGTGCTTC